AGAGGGAGCGGGAAATGGGAGGGGTACGAGTGGGAGGGAAATTATGGGGGGGGGAAGCCATGTAATCCATTAACTGTACTTTGAAAATTTATATTTACTAAATAAAAAATTAAAAAAAAGAGGCAGTTTATCAGCACCACAAGCCGCAAGCGCTCCTGTGCTGCCCCTCACCCTCTAAGCCTCCCAAGAGACCTCCTTCAGTGATTATAAGGGCAGCTTTAACAAGTTATTTCCTACACCATGTGGAGCAAAGGTGGCCTGGGATAACACAGGCTCAGCTCAGCTTTCAGCTCAGGAAGGTAGAGGTGGACAGAATTTGTTGTTCAGAATCTGCAGTTCTGTTTCAAGGTATTCATATCTGAAGGGAACCCACTGTCTTTTTATATCCCAGAAAAAGAAACATCTCATCCTCTGGCTGGTAATCTTCATTAAAAAACAAAAACAAAAACAAAAACAAAAAACACAAGCAAGTAATTCCATGCAGGCTACCAACAGTCATGCTGAGTGGCTAGGTCTTCTAAAACAAGAGCCCCCTATATGCAGATCCTACAAGGAACTTCCATTTTGGGAATCCCAGTGTCATCCTTATCTGAGACAGATCTGCAGGGGTCTTTTCACCAGTAAGACTAAAGTTATCTGGGTTCATATCCCACTGGTGCACCAAACTCACTAAAGAAACAAACAAATGGTGATTACCAGGGTGGCCCATGATACAGCTCAGTGGTGAACCTAAGTACCATAAATCAAACCCCTTTTATGGGAAAATGCACCATGTGTCCAAATACCTGACTGAGGAATGATCTTCAGTTGGCCATAGAACAGAGCTTCTCAGATTTGGCACTACAGACATTTGGGATGGACAGTTCTTTGTGATAGGACCTGTTTTGTGCACTATTTAGCTATTTAGCATCCTCTACTCACTAGATGCCAACAGCATAACTCCCTCCTCTCTCACCCACACTCCCTCCCCCTGTCCTGTTATCACAATTGAAGATCCCTCACCCATGCCCTGTTATCACAATGGAAAAGGTCTCCAGACTTTGCCACATGTTCTCTAGGAAGACAATGGCCCCCACTTGAGACTCACTGGGTTAGGCAAATGTGCAGTTCATCCTGTGCATAATGTATTTTGTGATTTCTGCATGCATTGCTTTTTCAGAGGTAGAATCACACTGGGCATCAAAGATCCCTTTGTACACAAAAGTGATACTTTGAGAAAGGTAGACCTTTGATGGAGGGCAGAATTCCAAACTGCAATCATAGCAGTCATATGAGTATTTTGAAATTTCAAACAACATTTAAAGGATATAAGCTTTTCTGTATTTACTGAATTTTTTAAAGGTTGAGAAACTGGAATAGAGAATTACAAATCATTCTGAAACCATTTCCTTCTGTTCAATAACACACTACCTAAAGAAACAGGGATTTAAGCATTTGGAATCTATTGCTGTGAGCATATAGGACAGTATTAACAACAATAATAGCAGTTGCCATTTATTTGAGACTTTGGTATATTCCAGGTCCTCTGGTAAATATTTAATACATAACAGTTTATTCAAGACGCACAACTCCACTCAGTGGGAAAAAAGGATTTTCTCCATTTTACAGATGAGAAATACACCAGATAATTAGTACCTGAAATATTTGGGACTTTTTCATAATACATCCTGGCAACTCTACATTTCTACTCAATGAAACCTGAAAATGGCACATTTCTTGGTAATTTGCGGTTATTAGTGTTATTCGAATTCTGAGTTATTTCTGTAATATGGTTAGTAGACCACCTTAAGCAGGTGCTTTGGTGAACTTCCAAAAGAAATCTCCCAGATATATATATCACACATTAGCCTCTCTTGGTCCTGAGGAATTGGAGTGACAAGCATTAGGAAAGCCAAGGAAACCAGCTGTGGTTCCTGCCAAGGACAAGAAAGCACCCTATTCATTCTAGGATTGCTGGGGCTGGCATGAATAATAGTTATCTCACTTTTTCAGCAGAGACAAAAAATGAAATTGTTCCTTTTCTAGATAATCACAAAGCAGATGACAGACTACAGCCAGAACAGCTCATGATGATTCTGAATACATCTGTATATATGAAATGCCATGTCCACACACGTCCACACACATACACAGTTATAGCACAGAACCCAACGCTCTTTGTCTTTGCTGTTGGGGCCACGTGCCTCTTCCATCCAGGAATTCTTCCTACATTCTCAGGATGCTCTTCAGCATTTTTCACCTACCAAGACCCAATCAATTTGCATAGACTCTCTGGGCTCCCTGGGCCTGGCAGGACACTAAAGATCAGCTGGCCACACTCTGGTTTCGTAACATCCTCTCCAATCACCTTGTTTCTCTTCTGTAACCATGAGGATTAATCATCTCATTGCCATGCTTATTATGGAAATTAGAAATTAGTTGCCTGGTACAGGTGCTTAGTAAGTGGCAGTAGTTGTTAATGATCTTAATTTTGTTAGTTTGATTTTAATAATGGTCCTGGTGTATCTCAGTAAAGTTCTTGGATATTAGCACCATTTTTCAACTACATTCAGTCACTTCCCTTTAGTTATAAATGAAACACTGCTTCATTTAAACTTCTAGCTTATCAGCCTGAAAATGAAATCGATGTCCATGTTGTGAGCATTTTCCCCATTAGAAATGAAAAGTTAAGAACTCTGGGTTCTCTAAAAAGCCACTGCAGCACAAAAATTCTAATCTTTTATGATGATGAATCTCTCATTTCTGCTATTTTCTGTGTAGGGCCTGGTTGTTAGGTATAATGCTTTGTATATTATCCCATGTTATTTGCTCCCTGAAATTACTATTATTATGCATTGTAATTACAGAGGCTGAGCTGGAACATCAAGTACTAGTATCATGAGTTCTTTTTAAAAATCTAAAGTGCATCTTCCTTATGAGATTTAAAATAGCTGATTTATCAGCGAGGCTACTGGCTGCAAATAAAATGAGAGTGCTACATTCTGATGAGCCATTTTCTGTGCTTTCCTCCCACTCACTAGGGTTTACTGATAGGCTACTTCTACAGACCACCTAAGCACCCAAACCAAAACTGATCCAAATGTGACTCCCATCTATCAACTCCTTCAATACACAGATAAAGAAGGTACAGAGTCCACTCGCCTAGATTGAGTCATTAGTTACAAGGGTCTTTTCAATTAAGACATCACCTATTATCTCTGAAGGTACCACTTTGGGACAATACTCAAAATGCTGGTACTGAGATTCAAGCCTCAACGCTATGCTGTAGCGTTTTTTCCTCCCTAGGAATCAAAGGTTCAGTGCCCCAGCCCCAACTCTAATATTCAGGGGTAACCCGCATTTCAGAATCCTTGTGAAAGCGAGGTTCAGGTCTGGCATCATTCTCCTCAGTTCGGCCACCCTGATCCCCTAGCAGTTGGCCCAACCCTGTAGAAAGAATGATAAGGTACTGGGGCCTGAGTGTGTATATGTTACCATGGTTACTAGTCCCTTCACAAGAGTGATGTCCTTTCCTTTTGACTTGAAGTGTGGAAGAAGCGGCTGCAGGAATGGAAACCTGCCCATGGGCTAGGGATGGTGATCCCTCATCTTTCCACAGTCAGCATGAAGGTTCTAGTCACTGCCACTTAGTAACAGCAGAAACTTGGGCCAATGTCAGTAAAAAGGTATTTGGGCCATAATGTTTCTATGATGCCTTCTAATTTAAAATTTCTATGGTTTTACAACTTTACTTGGTGGGAAAGGAGTTTCACCCTCCCAGGTTAAACATGCAGATGATTGATAATGGATAACATTTTGAATTATAGGAAGAAGTTTTATTCTGCTGTGCAACCTTGAATGGCTGACCAAAAGGCACCTAAGTGATAGCACCATAGTGAAACGGCACATTCAAGGTCAGCTGGACTTCCAGCAGCCTGACCATTAGGAATACAGCTGTGAACCAGAAAGATGTAACTGCACTAAAATTTCACTCACTTAGTTCCAGAGGAAGATTTAAGGCATTAGCCTCTATTCTTTTTCAAAGCAATTAAGATAAAATGAAGGAAAGAGATTAAAAATGTAGGTTTTCCTGGAGCAGAAAGTCTTCTGGGGACTGTTCATTGGTTAAAGGGTCATAGAATGGGGAGTGCAACATGAATGAAAGAAATTAATAAGCTTCCACCTCAGAACAGTAGTCTCTTTTGCTCCCCCACAGCCAGTCCCCACTTCATCACCACGTACATGCTGAGAAAGTAGATTAACTCCTGCAGGCCAATCAGATCAGCCTTGGGTTTTCAGACAATTACTTCTCTCATCTAAAATAAAAAGCCTACTGATTCCCAGTGACCCAATCCTGTCTCTGGCTGGAGTCATCCCTGAAGTAAATGCACTGCTTATAAAGGTGATTCACACTGTTTGTCAGAAACTCATTCATTAAAAACCGAGCTTTCTCCTACTGCCGTGTGCCATCTCTGACTGTTGCATCCACTCTCCCTCTTAGCCTTAGTCTAGAGACTGCAGCCAGGTCTCCAGGAGCACAGAATGATCCCAGCCAGGAGTTTAGAGCTTGGGTAGACCTCTTTTAACAAGTGTGGTCTTTAAATTCACGGTCAATGAATTCAACTGACATCTTCCAACAACTGCTATATTGTTTATTTGAGCCATCTCCATGAAAGAAAACAAAACTGCCTCATAAATGGAACATATACTTAAGGAAAATCCATTTTGCATATGTCTCTATAAAGATTTGAATATGCATTACATTGTAAATTTCCAAGAGGCCTTTTAAAAGAATTCAGCATTTGGCCTTTGTCTTCTGATTCAATGAGTGGAAAAAAAAAAAATAAAAAATAAAACAACGAATTAATACTTTGAGCCTTGAAAGTTTAGTCTGTCTTCTGCCTTTGTAAAACAGAGACAAAATGAGATCACTAGATGACCTGCATAAGAACAACTAACATGGTGAGTGCTGACTCTAAAGCCTGTGTTTCCATTTTATGACAGTCGACGTTAAGGCCTACCTCCTCCTCTTTCCTTCTCATCTTCTTCTTCTTTCAGCAGCTTGCCCATGGAATTATACCACTTGAATTGTGGGTCAGGGACGCCATAAACGCTACAGTTAATCAAGGCACTGTTCCCTTCCTTGACTATGATATGGTCAGTTCTGGCCATGATTACAGGCACAGAGCCCAAGACCATGTCAGTGCCATTTAAAGTGCTGTTTGTCACACTCCTAGCAGTGGCTAGAGTGGATACTAAGATTAAAAAGGGCACAGAAGGTAGAAAGCACACTTTCAGATGGCTCTTCAATCGACCCATCTTCTTAGCTTGCTCTGTAAGGCAATAGAGAGATGGTTTGCCAATGGAATCTTCTACTAGACAACACACTGTTCAGAGCAGGCCATGGGACGAACCTGTCCTGGATCCACAGAGCTGGTACTTGATTAAGAATCTGTTAAGAAAGAAAAGCCATACATACATAAATATTAGCATTCATACTTTTAAAAATACTACTCATATTCACAAAGTTAGCAATCCAGGTAAAATATAAACCTATATAATTTTCAAACACACATTCAGAAGATGTTCCAAAGGTTAAATTATGTTTTTCACAGAAGTCATAACAATGTAATTTTGTTATTTTTGCTATTAGAACATAGGACTCTTAGTGGGAACAAATACATTTCTTAGCCTGAATTTATTTCACATCACATTACTTCACTGAGTTAAAAAATCATTTCAGGCTTCTTTCCTTTAGTATCACAAGGACTCTTTCCACCCCCTCACCTGTTTTCACTGGAAATGACCCGACTGTTCACCTCATGTGTTCCTTAACCACTTTTATTCCAGTAAATATGACCTCCCATTTATTCCAGTGGTCAGAGCTTGGGCTCTGCCAGCGTTTGGAAGGATTTCATCAGAGTCATGCTGGCATTCTTGTAACTCCACTAAGGCTTCTGGGACACTCCTTCCCCCTTATGCCAGTGCCTGTGCTCCTTTGAGCTCCACCCCATCTTGCTGTCTGCACTCTGTGTAACTGGCATCTACTGATTCTTGATCACTCACTGAATTCCCTGGGTTCAGTCTTCATCTAACTCCCAGAGGCTGGAGAGAAAAGATCAGTAGGTATGGGGTAGCAGAGAGGTGGCTTTACTTCCATGTTCAAAGGTCTAACCTTCATCTATCCTTCTACCCTCCATTTCACCCACTAATCCTTGGCTACAACAAGGGCCTTTCACTTCTCTAAATTCTAAATTCTAAAGTTCCAAGCAATTGTGCAGTTCTAAACAAACCATCTTTTAACTTCTACTAACCATTCTTCCAGCTCTCGATCTCTTACTCCCCTCACTGGGATTTTTAGCTCTTCTACATCTTTCAATCTGCCTATATCCCCCACTACTGCTGACCTGCAAACTTTATTTCTAAGTCGAGACCCAGACATGCAGACTTAAAACCACAATAACTTCATCCCTTGTCTATGCCACAATTACTCTGCCAATATACAAACTTGATCATGCTAATCCTTTGTCATCCTGGCCCCTATACCCAGGATACAGGAGTACTACTTTGGAAATGATAACAATTGTGCAGTTCTTGCCAAAATAAACAAATGATCTCCAATCCTTGCCAGGCCATCAGTGACATCTGACAGTCTGTTTTATCAGGGCTTAGAATGTTCAGTATCCTCTTCCCACAATACTTATAGACATCTTCAGCTTTATTTTTTTTTTAAGATTTATTTTATTTATTTGAAAGACAGAGTTACAGAGAGGTAGAGGGGGGAGGGGGAGAGGGAGAGGGAGAGGAAGAGAGAGAGAGAGAGGTCTTCCATGCATTGATTCACTCTCCAAATGGCCACAATGGCCAGAGCTAAGCCAATCCAAAGCCAGGAGCCAGGAGCTTTTTCCGAGTCTCCCACATGAGTGCAGGGGTCCAGGGACTTGGACCATCCTCTGCTGCTTTCCCAGGCACAATAGCACAGAGTTGAATCAGAAGTGGAGCAGCCAGCACTTTGAACTGGCACCCATATGGGATGCTGGCACTGCAGGTCGGGGCTTTAACCCACTGTGCCACAGCGACAGCGCCCATCTTGAGCTTTCAAGCCAACCATTTTGGCCCTGTAGTATCCTACCTTCTCAAAAGCAAAACAAAAGCCAACATTCATCTACTAAGGCTTGTAGGCATGAATTCCTTCTATACATCTTCCTACCTTGAGAAAAGCAACCTACACTTTTTCCTCAATTCCTCAAACAGCTACATTTTGAATTTGATTTGCTCCTTCCTGGAATAGCTCTTGCTCAAGGAACCAGTTCTCCTAGTTGCCAAGTTTTTAGTCTTTTACCAAATCTCTATGATAATGGCTACTATTGGCATTCTTTCTCAAAATTCTCCATAGCTTCCCAACTTGGTTCCTCCTAATTGCTTTCATTATTCCTTAGTAACTCCTCTTTTGCTTTCTACTCCTTAAAAGTTAGTTAACTGCTGGGGAGTCAATATTGGCCCTCTTGTCTTCTAACACACAGTTCTACTGCCATGGCTTTATTGCCACCATACCTAATAACTCTCAAACCCATGTCCTCAGTCCTGACTCTTTCCTGAAATGTCCACTGGACATTTTTACCTGGATTTTTTACAAGTAGCTCAAATTTTACATTTTATTTATTTATTTGAGAGGCAGAAAGACAGAAGTAGGTAGATAGAGTTCATACCCCCTGGTTCATTCCCCAGATGCTTGCAATGGCCAGAGCTGGGACAGGCCATTGCTAGCAGTTGGGAACTTATCCAGATCTCCTACCTGGGTGGTAGGAACCCAGTGAGTTGAGCCATCACTACTGCCTCCCAGAGTCTGCACTGGCAGAAAACTGAAGTCTGGAGCAGAGCTGGGAATTGAACACAGGTACTGCAGTATGGCATGCAGGGATCTTAACTGCTTGTTTCCAGTAACTCAAATTGAACATTCCCAAGCCCGACTCATTTTCTTATCTGCTAAACATGTAGCATTTCTCAGAGCATTTAGTTCAGTTCAGAGCAGCACCTTTCTCAATCCAACTATTGCCCTCATGCCCTCAAAACACCAAGAATTACATGTTGTTGACTACAAACAACTCCACTCTTAAACACTGCTTGGCGCTACTCCATCCTGCTGTCTTCTCTCAATGAGTCTCAGTTTGGATCTCCCTATCTTCTTACTAGAAATCATGTGGTAGATTCCACACGATTGCCTGCCTTCAGTCTTACTCCAGTTCCAGACACCACTGGTAGAGCTTTCCATTCTACAACTCAAATTATGCAGCGCCATTCCTTTACTTAGCAACCTTCAATGTCTCTACTGCCTACGTTATAAGATATGAATTCCTTACCTTTTAATCGTTCAAAAATATCTAGTGAATATCTCTTATTGGATAGACATTATTCTGAATCCTAGAGATACAGAATCTTTAATGTTATGTGGAATTTATGTTCTCAAAGGCAAGAGCACACAATAAATAACTACATGTATAAATACGAATTTCAGTAGTGATGATGCTATAGGGGATGTCGTTGTGGTGTGGTGGTTAAAGCCACTGCCTGTGACCCCAACATCCCATATGGATATTGGCTCAAGTCCCGTCTGCTCCACTCCCAACCCAGCTCCCTGATAATGGCCTGGGACAAACAGAAGATAAGGCCCAAGTGTCTGGGCCCCTGCCACACATGTGTGAGACCTGGATAGAGTTCTTGGCTCAGTCCTGACCACTGCAGTCACTTGGAGAATGAACCAGCAGATGAAAGACCTCTCTCTCTCTCTCTCTCTCTCTAACTCTTGCAGATAAATAAATCTTTTAAAAATACATATTGAAAATACACACCATAATGTGCTCATTACTGAGTTATGCAGTCAGGGAGGACTTCGGTCCTCCTTCAGTGCTCAAGGCCCTAAGCTACGTGACAGCTGAAAGAAGAGTACTCTAGGAAACCAAAAGCAAACCACCCCACAAATGCCCACCAGGGCAAGAAAGCAAGGGTAGAGGAATTATAGGATGGGCCAGAGATGCAAGCCCAAGTCACCTAGGGTTTGTAGACTAGAGTAAGGAGTTTGTACCTTAATCTAATGTTCATTTGACATTTTTTTAACATTTATTTATTTTTATTTGAAAGAGTTACACAGAAAGAGAAGGAAAGGCAGAGAGAGAGGTCTTCCATCCACTAGTTCATCTCCCAGTTGGCCACAATGGCTGGAGCTGCGCTGATCCAAAGCCAGGAGCCAGGAGCTTCTTCTGGGTCTCTCCCGCAGGTGCAGGGGCCCAAGGACTTGGGCCATCCTCTACTGCTTTCCCAGGCCACAGCAGAGAGCTGGATCAGAAGTGGAGCAGCCGGGACTTGGCGCCCATATGGGATGCCGGCACTGCAGGCGGCGGCTTTACCCACTATGCCACAGCGCCAGCCCCCATTTGACATTTTTAAGCAAGGAAGTGACAGGATATAATTTCCTTTTAAAAACTGACTTTCTGTGGTATAATTTACACACAATAAAATAAAATGTGCCCATTATAGGTACACATGTTTGTGAGTTTTGACAAGTCTATACACCTGTGGAACTACCACAATAAACAAGATACGCAAGATATCCATTGCTACCAAGAGTTTCCCTGTACTCCTTCCCAGTTTCAGTTTTCACACTGACCCATTCCAGTTATTTTTGTGTATACAAAAGGGTGAAGGTCCAATCCTCATATATATGTCCAGGGGATTCAGCACCCTCTGTAAGAAAAATCATCTTTTCTCCAATGGATGACTTTCTTGAAAACAATCGCATGTGTGTGGGGCTATGTCTAAACTGTTTTATTCTGTTCCACAGCCCTATTATGCCTGTCCTTACACCAGTACCACAGTGACCACACTGTCTGCCTCATTTATCTTTGTATCTGCAGTGTCTGAAGTTGCCCCTGACATGTTAGATGCTCAATGAATTTGTCTGCTGGATGAATGAAGAATCTCTCCAAAGGCAGAAATTAGTATTCCAATTCTGTACAGTAAAACTGAAGAGGTACCTGGTGGTGATTAATTAGCCTCAGGGCATATATTTCTTCAGCACGGTGCTGTAGATTTCCACATGCCCCTTAGGGCTGGAGGGCCTTCCTGCCCTGGAGAGGCCAGCACACTGCTCTGCCAGCCAAACCCCTGTGGCTAGGAGCAGTGCGGCTGCAGCGCGTGACTGATGCCCTCCTGTGACTTTGCAACTGCCTTTCTTTCCTTGAATACCCTTGTGGTTCCTTTTATCAGGGTGGTTGTAAAACTCCTACGTTCAATAAAAAATAGTTGTTAAGAGCATGGGCTTGGGTTTTAGACAGACTGGGCCAAGACCCCAGTTCTAACCCCCTTAAGTTGGCTGTTTTGGCTAAATACTCACTAAGCACAGTACAAGTGTAAGGGTTCACAATCACATGTACACCAAGCTCTTACCTATTGCTTGTCTTGGTGATCAAGAATTAGCATAACGGATAAAATACCCTTGATTCAAACTGGGCTTCTTGAGTATATTTTAAGTTACGCGTTTTAAGAGACATATTTGGAGGCCAGCAATTGTGGTGCACTGGGTTAAACTGCTGCCTGCCAACACCATATGAGACTGGTTTGAGTGCTGGCAACTCTGTTTCCAATCCAGCTCTCTGCTATTATACATGCGAAGGTAGCAGATGTGGATCCAAGTGCTTAGCCCCCTGCCACCCACGTGAGGTACTCAGATGGAGTTCTTGGCTCCTGGCTTCAGCCTGACCCAGCCCTGTCCACTGTGGCCATTTGAAGAATAAACCAGTAAATCAAAAGATATCCCTCTTTCTCTTTTTCTTTCTCTCTCTCTCTTTTTTTAGCTCTGCCTTTCAAATAAATAAATCTTAAAAAACAGAAATCCTTGGCTGTGGTTTCGTTTAATACATTACAGACTGCCATGCCATCACCAGAAGTCATTACAAGTGACTCTCAGCACAGGGATCCTTTGCAGGAACCCCGGTCCAAGAAGGCACAAGCTGCCCATCTAGGCATTTGCTGCAGTGAGTATCTGAGGGTAGGAGCTGGAGTCATTCGTCTTAGACTCCCTGATGCCCATGTCAGAGCAGACGCCCTACTAAATATCTTGGGAGAGTCAGAGTAAAGACAGTAGGAGGGGCCAGTGCTGTGGCATAACAGGTAAAGCCACCACTTGCAGTGCCAGCATCCCATATGGGTGCTGTTTCGAGACCTGGCCTGCTCCACTTCTGATCCAGCTCTCTGCTATGGCCTGGGAAAGCAGTAGAAGATGGCCCAAGTCCTTGGGCCCCTGTACCCCTGTGAGAGACCTGGAAGAAGCTCCTGGCTCCTGGCTTCGGATTAGCACAGCTCCGGCCGTTGCAGCCAACTGGGGAGTGAACCAGTGGATGGAAGATCTCTCTCTCTCTCTCTCTCTCTCTCTCTCTCTCTCTCTCCCCCCCTCCCTCCTTCCCTCCCTCCTCCCCTCCCTCCCTATCTCCCTCTCTCCCCCCTTCTCTCTCTGTGTAACTCTGACTTTAAAATAAAAAAATAAGTAAATAAATAAATGACACACTAGGAGACAGGTTCTAATAAATATACATAGTAAATATACTATAACTCCCCCCTCCAACAGTTACAGCGAATGCAACAAATGGAAGATCAAACCAAATTTTCAAATGTGTTACCTCCAGAGCTGTTT